GGAGCAGCAGGAATATCAGATATAGAATCTGCAGGGACGAGTGCATACTGATCACCTGTACATTCAGTCAGCAAATAATTGGGTAACTGGGACATGACATTTTGCATGGCTGTCGTAAAAACCTCAGCTGAGGGAAGAAAGGGCTCAGCCACACCCAACATAGCCAAGGAGGACTCCGATGGGAGAACAGAATCTAAGGTCAGAGGATAACTTGATGCTCCATGAAATTTACCAATTCCACCACAGATGTAACTAATGTTGTTAACGTTTTTCCATTCCTTCCTACTAGAGTGGATAATGTCTGATTTTGCCACTTATGGCAGTGCCGCCATAGTAGTCTACTTTCTCTCCTCTGAAATACCCACTATCATTCTTGGAGATTTTAACATCCCCCATTAATGTGAACAACCCAGCTACATCCCAATTCTTCAACCTATCCTCATCTTTTGCCTTAACACAATGGACACAGTCCTTCACTCACTGATGGGAATACATTAGACCTTGTTTTCTCCCATCTTTGCACTCCCTACAACCTCAAACACCCACTTTCCTCTCTGATCACAATCTCATCAACTTCACAGTGTCTTCATCTTCAAACACCTATCCCTCCAAGCAGCAAACAATTACTCGCAGAAACCTTCACAACTTTAACCCTTCTCTTTTCTACTCTGCAAATGACCACCTCTATGATAGAATCTCTCCTCTGTCCTGCTCTGACCACTTCTGGCTAAAACAGTTCACTTTCATCCACACTAGACTCACTTGCTCCCATAACTAAATGAAGTATCAGGCCCCAAACAACACAACCTTGGCATACTGATGACACCAGAAATCTCATGAGACATAGTCATGCACTGGAGCGATTGCGGCGTAAAACCAAATCCCAGCAAGCATTCACCGTATGTAAATCTGCTTTCTTAAAACAGAATTCCTCCCTCCATGCTGCCAAAACAAGTCTACTTTGTCACTCTTATTAATACCTTTTCATCCAGTCATCATTGTCTCTTCTCTACTTTTAACTCTCTTGCTCACTCTCTCACTTCCACCCAGTAACTCACTCACTGCTTACAAGATTGCCAATCATTTCAAAAACAAAATTGATATTCCATACTATTACTACTTTACCTCTCTGCGGCTTTTGATACTTTTGACCATCCCCTCCTTCTCAAACTCCACTCTCTTGGCTCCCCAAGACTCTGCTCTCTCCCAGTTCTCCTCCTATCGCAGCGTTCCTTCAGTGTTACCTATAACTGTCTCCACCGCTCCACTTCCACTTTCTGTAGGGGTCCCTCAAGGTTCTGTCCTTGGACCCCTTCTCTTCTCCATCTACACGTCCTCCCTTGGTACTTGAAGTCATGGGAGTTTATCAAGTGACCATCTCTATGCTGATGCACAAATCTCTCTTTCTACTCCTCACCTAAGTGACATATCAGCATGGATGTCACTGCACTTCCTCAAACAAAATCTTTCTAAAACGGAGCTCATACTAATCCCTCCAGCCCATGTCCTCTCCCTTGACTTGTCCATCAAGATCAATAATACTACCATCAGTCCATCCCCCTCATGCCAGGGTACTAGGTGTAATCCTCGACTCCCATCTGTCCTTTCAGCCCAAAATCCAATCAGTGTCCAAATCTTGAAGACTTCACCTCCGAAACATCTCCAAGATACACCCATTTTTAACCACTGAAACCACTAAGCAACTTATTTACTTCCTTGATTATTGTAACTCCCTTCTCATTAGCCTACCTAATCGCAGGCTATCCCCCCTTCAGTCTAACATGAATGCTGCTGCCAGACTCATCCACCTTACCAACCGTTCCATATCTGCCATTCCTCTCTGCCAATACCTCCACTGGCTTCCCATTGCCCAACGAATAAAATTCAAAATATTAACAATAACATATAAAGTCATTTATAACTCTGCCCAAAATTACATCACCAATCTTGTCTCCAAATATCACCCAAACTGTGCTCTTCGCTTCTCCCATGACTTCCTGCTCTCTAGCTCCCTTGTCCCCTCCTCCCATGCCCATCACCAGGACTTCTCCAGAGCCTCCCCCATCCTCTGGAACGCTCTACCCCAATCTATCAGACTATCGCCTACTCTGCCCACTTTTAGGCGATCCCTGAAAACCTCTCTCTTCAGGGAAGCCTAACCCGCTTCAGCTAATAACTGAATCTTCCATTTTTCCATCAGTTCATTCCCCACAGTTATTACCTTTTGTGCCGCCAACTCCTTCCTCTTAGATTGTAAGCTCTAAGGATCAGGGCACCCTTAACCATCTTGTATTGAACTTCATCGTTGCTGTATTGTCTCCCTTTATAATGTAAAGTGCTGAGCAAACTGTTGGCGCTATATAAATCCTGTATTATTATTATAATAAGTCTGCAGACACTCATTAAAGCAGAGTTCCACTCAACCTTTCAAAAAAAATAAAAGTCAGCAGCTACAAAAACTGTAGCTGCTGACTTTTAAAAAAAAAAGCCAGTTATCTGTCCCTCGGTCCCGTGGTGTGTCGCCCCGCAGCTAGTTTCACGGGCCGTCCTGTACTCCAGGAGGCCGGCATCTTCTGTGTGGGCACCCGGCTGTGATAGCTTGCGGCTTCACAGCATCGTACCTACTGCGCATGTGAGAGTAGCGCTGCGCTTCGTGAATGGTCCTGTAGTCTTCTGGAACCGGTCACGTGTCCCAAAAGACTACAGGGAGGGAGGACACCTTCCGCTTCCGATCGCCTAGGCGATCGGACTGGAAGTGGGAGTGGGTACCTGTCAAATTTGGGTACCCGCTCCCTAAAGGTGCCAATCCTTAATGGGGAGCAGTCCTTAAAGCAGAACGTCCCCTTTTGGGTGGAGCTCCGCTTTAAGGAAAAAGATGGGAACAGAGGGGCTTGGACTGTGATAGGATGCATGCAATGAAGTAACCAAACCGTCCCCTAACAGAGGTAAACAATAGATGAGGATGGTAAAAAATGGGAGGTAGAACCTTTGCTTACTACAGGGCAGGAAACAAGTGTCGGCTGGGGGCGAATTTGCGTCAGTGAACTAATCCATCATGGAAAATTAGGTCCTAACTCCTTAGTACAGACAAAAATAAGAGCATTTCAGAAAGTGTGGGGGTCACCAGCAGGGGCCACACCTCAGTTGAGCTTTTGTTTTGTATATAGTGTCCTACTTTTGCAGCTGGCAGTATATCCCAATTGCCAAGATTAAGAGAGCTGTGTCCTTCAATGAATGAAACAAAAATAACTACTTAGTGCAGCGCTTTTAATACAATATACTGGCACAGAAAGTGGGAAAACAGTTCACAGTGATGCAATAGAAGCCTATTTAAAAAAACAGCATCACTGGGATGGTATCTCCAAATAGGAAGGAGACACTAAAGTATACCAGTACACACATGTAGGTTCAGGCTAGCTGCAATAGTAAGGTTATTGCAGTGAAAACCTTATATTTTAGCATAAAAATTTTTGTAAACAGATTTCATGACGAATGGGCTTTGTAACGTTAGGTCACTTTTAATAGGAGTCCTTTATATTCAATACACCCGGCCGTTGTGCATCTTACTGAAATATGTGCTTTGCAACTTCCACTCACGTTGTTTCAATAATCACATTCAAACTTGAATTTCAGATGACATTGGAAAAGATTTCCTGCTTGTTATGTTGATAGTTACTTAAAATCTGAAAATCTAAGAGCCAGCTTTAAAAGACAGCAGTTAGCAAAATGCAGCTTTACTGCCAGGCCCAAATATCGACACGTAAACAACTATTAGAAGTATGTTAATTTATTGTTGCCTATCAGCCTTCAACTGTCATATACTTAGGTTTGTTAACAGAACAAGGATTCTGATTGGTTCCTATTGATAAGCAATTTTCACATTAGCAGTTATGCACACTGCTCACTAGGATGCACTGCTCACTAGGATGGCTGCCAGCCCTCTAGCTATATTTCCTGTTGGTCTGCACAGCCATATTTAGACCCAATGCACAACTGTTGTAACAGTGGAGGTAAGACTGAAAGTGGAGGTGTATCTGGCTCCATATCTCTTTTTGTGACTTAAAACTTTAAAGTCAGTGTTTGTTAGAACCCAAGATTTAAAGCTGAAAAAATGCTCAAGCAAATTAAAATGGAATTACAGTTCAATTCTAACCAAGCCTAAACCTATTCCCACCCATATTTAAGTCCATTTTATCTGCCCTGTAAATGAAAAAATGTCTATACTTATCTATGCTGAAACTGTTCTCGGTCTGGTCACATGATCCGGTCCTAGTGACTGCTTCAGTGTAAAGGAGGGACAGCAAACAACAGTTGCCCCACTGTAAGCCTATGGGTGACATCATCATCCTCGCTCTGCAGCCGTTGTTGCTGCATATCCTATATACTGAAGCTGGCGCTGGGATGCGTTCATGTGACTGGACTGAAGGGGCTTTAGAATAGTTAAAAAGGAGAAAGTACAGCCAAAGCGCTTTCGGTTGTACTTCTCCTGTGGATCACAGGAGTGCAGTCATGTGACCCCTTTTCAGCTGACAGCGGGCTGATGCCTGCTGTCATCTGACATCACTCAGCCGGTCCTGGCTGGGGAAAGATCCTGACTTTAAAGTCGGGATCCACCCCAGAGTCTGGAGCGACACCCCCGACTCAGCCTCTCAGTGATCTATTGAGAGCCTGAGCAAGCAGCTCTGTCCCCCTCCACGATCATTGGAAAATTTCTTACATTTTGGCAACAGCAAAGGAAATACTGAAATGGGCATGCAGCACTTCAGTGCCTCAGACAAATTACACTAGGAACACCAGCAGGTCCTAAAACGTCAGCGAACATGTGTCTATGAATATCCTTAGATATACTTCATTCTTACAGTAACAGGACGGTTACTTCAAAAATGTTTTATAAAAATGTTAAGTCAGTGATTTTTCTGGAACCAGACAAACCAAGGATTTACAGTGGAGTGATATCAATCCAGGTTACTCATTCAATCACAGCTACCACACCTACCCACCTGAAGTGTGCAGTTATTTCCATGTGAGAGCGCAGCTCACATCGACAAGACGTACAAACAACCTGAAATGGAATGTCTTTACAAAGTGCAGTCAAGACTCTCTTTGCATAGGATGGAACAGGGACTGGGCATGAAACTCCTTTTTCACCTACAATAGGAGAAAGTGTTTATTAAAACAGAATCAATGCATTGATTGGAAATTAACCAGTAATGATTTTAACTTTTATAATACAATTCAAAAATCTTTACCTATACAATTGCATTAGAATACTCATAAAATTTAAAAGCAAATATTTTTTTTTTGCTGTACTTTTTTTTAAAAGTGTAAGGCTCCATGAATACTGGACCATTTAGCTGCTCTCAGAAGGGCTGTACAGGAAACCTGTGCCCTTCATCCGCAACTAAAACGCTAGAGCCCCATGCACTAGAGCTAAAAGCCTAGCATGGACGGGACCTTAAATGTTGTACGGACTCAAAACATTGCAATATGTCCAAGGCTGCATTATTATATGCTGTCATATTGGGATGCATTTACTTAGCGGTTTCTTTGGACAACTGAATGATACAGTGAAACTAATAGTTAATAAAATAGTTTTCATCTGCATAAAGCAACAGCCTTAGGGCTCATGAACACAGGCATTTGAAAAAACTTTTCTGACCGCTGGAAACTGACTGCTAGAAAACGTAGGTCAAAAATGTCAGTTTAGCCGCGTTTACCTACCGTGTTTATGTTTAGAAGTTTTTTTATTAAAAGATAACCTCAGGAGACCCCCCCCCCCCCCCAAATGCCCAGAGTGCACTGAAAAATAGTAAATAATTAACTATTTCAGACATTTTGTGAGAAATAGAGCAGAAGCAGGGAGAGCACTACTTTTTGATGGGTGTTGCAACTGTAGCAAAAGTGGCTCGTGAAACATGCTTGGCACTCTGGGCGGCGCTACATAGTGCAGTAATGCCTCCGGATGCATTCTGGAGTGCATAAAACACTCCTTGTGCTGTTTTTGCTGTGTTCCAGTACAGTTCTGTGCAGAAATAATGCAGCACGCTCTACCTTTTTTTCCAGCATGAGAAACCTGGAACCGACTGCACTGGTGTACTAGGTCCATTTGAAAACACGGAAAACGCTGTGCATGCATTTTTGAGGCAGAAAAAAGGCACTGGTCAACATCTGGATATGAACCAGCGCAAAAACGTGGCTAAACGCAAACACGCATAAACGCGTTTACACGCAGTTACAAGTGTTTGAAACACCAGTAAACTCTACTCCTGAATGCAATTTTTGTGCTTTCAAAAAAATGCCTGTAAACTACTGTGAACGACTATGTGTACATGGACTTATAGGAAAAACATAAAAAGGAAGTTCAGGGGCTGCTGAAAAAAAATGCACAACTGCTCCTAAACTACAGTTAGCCGCTGCAGTATACATGAGCCCTTATCCTGGCTGTTTCTTGCTCATGAGTAGACCTATTGCATAGATCTAGTTAATCATGCAGACTGGCTATCACACTGGGCAACAAAATTAAAAAGGTATCTAAACACAAGAACAAAAATGTAATATTATGGCTTACCAGTCCTTAGATTCGGTGGTTGCATTAGTTTAAATTTTTTCTGGCTAAGTACAATTACTCCAAGTACAGAAAAGTACGTAATGATTCTGACAAAAATCTATAGTCCTTTCAACTTTCTGTGCAGTGAAATGAAATTTCAAACAATCTTATCAGTTTTCTGAACCATCTTCTGTGAACTACATATGCCTCTCCCTATGTAATGCAAATAAGGATAGGTTGTGCTTTATTCCAAATCAGGAGAACAGCTGCACTTCTACAGATACAGTACAGTAAATGAGTGTTGTCACCCTAGGACAAGAAGTGTGCTGCTAGTAGGATCATCAGGTGAAAATGGAGGATAAATACTGAAATATAAAGAAAACTAATGCACCTACCACATTTAAGGACTGGTAAGCTGCAGTATAATATTTTTTATAGTTGTCACAACATTCTTTTTCCAAGTCTATGGAGACACAGCCTTTGATCAAAAGATCAACCAAAACCAATAGAAAAAAAAGAAGGGGTAGTGTCATTTGATGGCTTAACCATCAATTGGACAGAAATGTCAGTTAGTGGCAAGCACTACAAGGATAAACCATAACATGGCAATTAGCCCTGTTAGAAAGGCAGGAGCGATGTCCTTCAGTGAACGTTTAGAAAATAATTTAATGCAGAGTACAAATATTTAACTTTACCATTCGTCGCTGAGACACAAACTTTGACCAATAGGTCAACTAGAACCAGTGGGAGGTCCACAAACAGTACACTATCAACTGGTGGGCAAAAATTCCAATAAAACAAGGTAATTACTCCATCATCAAAATAGGGTGAATCACACTTCTGCCTGAAAAAGATTTGCAGCCAAAGCGGGCATCTACCAATTTAGCCACATTGACCTTTAAAGTGGTTTAAACCTGTGGACAGAAGGCCAAATTAGAGCCTTATGGACTTGGAACAGCCCTGATGGAATGAGACCAAAAAGGAGTTTTCTTAATAGCACAGGCATGGGTTATGACCGGTTTATTCCATTTAGAAAAGGTAAATGAAGGGACTGCCAAACCTTTCAGGCACTATCCGCGTTAACAAACAGGGAATCTGTGTTCCTAAAGCACACACTTGAATGTTAATGGTGCCCAGTGCTAGATGCTGATACACTTTTTTTTTTTTACATAAAGATAAAATCCTGCAACAATAAAAAGTATGACAAGGAGTCCGAATGACTTCACACACCACCTGAAACAGGCTGCCACTCAAGAAATCTGCCCCATTTCTGGCATCAGTGGCAGACTTTGTGCCTCCTGGATAGGCAACATATTCAACAGCGTTGTTGGACCGTTTCCTTTACAGAGTGACCCTGAAGGAGGCTCTATCCACTGAAGCAGATCCAGTATGATCACCCAGAAGTCCTTTGAGAGAAAAAGTTGAGATTATTCCCTGGTCCAATGACTCCAAGTCCAGAAGGAGTCTAAAATTCCTCCTCCACTTGTAAAGTCTCATGTTCACTACCACAATCCTAAAAGGAATTTGAACCACACCGCCAGGGATGCGATCAACTAGGTCAGAGCTAGGCTTACACAGCTGTTAATACAAAATTTTCTAACCAAGGCTAACAGGGATTTGACCCACTTTGGCAGAATCTCCCACTGCAAATATCAAGTATGGAACTGGGCATATAGAACTGCCTCAAAGGCAGCTACCATCAGCCCCAGTAAAGACCACCAAGATCTTACATGCCCTGCAGTTTTTAAAGGTTTTTTTTCAAGGGCGGAAAAAATGTTGGCCAGTCCAGACTCAATTTCAGGGTACCCAACAGGGAACATGGGCAAGGAAAGAATCAAGCTCAGGTACCCAAAGTGGGAAGATGGGCACAAAAATTACCTGACATTCAGGAGTAGCTGAATACTGAGTGAGTGTGAAAGTGTCAGCTGGAGATTCTCCTCCAGCTCCTTGACAGAATTCACCCTCAGCAGTAGGTCATGGATGTATCCCACTATGAAGAGAACAATCAGATGAAGCACTGCTAGCACTTTTATGAAAGCCAGGACATTTGGGATCTGGGTAAGATGGTTCGTGTGTGTGCGCGCGTGTGTGTGTGTGGGGGGGGGGGCATGGCCAGATGTAGCAGATGCCAGCCTGAGGAGCACCCACGATCTTGACTCATCCTGAGCAGCTTTTACCTCTTAATCCTACTGGTCACCAGGTCCCAGAGTGTTGGACACATCTCCGCTGGTCTCCTGCACCTTCTTGAATGCCATCCCGCCAAAACCTCCCTGCCACACTGGCTGGGAAGAAAGAGTAAGTGCTGCAGGTCCCTGGTGTGGGTGCCATCTGGGCCAGAAAACTCCATATACTCCTGGCTGAGTTGAAGATGGCAGCAGAACCCGATGGCGCTGCAGTGCTCTCCATACAGGGAGACACTGACAACACTACTGTCATCCTGGCAGCCATAGAGCAGTGTAACACCTCTTTCCTTGTCCGGAATGATCGGGTGGCGTGTAATCTCATCAGAAATTACCTGAATAAAATCAGGGGCTGCTTCTCTGAGACCAAGGATCGAATATCTACAATGGAAGATTTAACAGCTCAACACATAGATTTTCTCCAGTCCTTGCAAACTGTAGTTCCACATCCCCCTCATTTGCTTTTTAAACTACAGGGACTGTGACCGTTATCCTTAGCTAACCCAGGAAACACCCCTCATTTCCTTATGAAAACACCACGGTCCATTTATACCCTAATTTTTCTGCCAAGGTCCAAAAGAAGCGCAAGTCCTTCAATGATATCCGCAGGAGGCTCCATGACAGAGGCATCCTATACAGCAAGCTGTATCCAAGCCGCCTGCGTGTCCCGCACAGGGGCTTGGTTCACTTTTTCGACTATCCTGAGGCTGCGGATGACTAGCTAACCATACTACCTTGAACCCTGGCAGAAATCAGAGGTTTCCTGATCATCTCAATCCCCTGAATTGGTTGTCTCTTCCTGATACATAACCTGGGACAGGTAAGATGTGACCTTCCCTACATTTAGGATATGGGGCAATGATCAGAACTATATTAAATTTTCCTGTCACTTAATACTACTATCCTTGGGGGGCCAAAACTGGAGATCTCTGGGGGAAAAGGGGGGGGGGCAGAAGAGTCCTCTGCCTCAGCCTTTGCTCATACCAAGACCTGTGTACTTGCCGAATCTCATTTTTTTCTTTTAAAACTGGACATCTGCCATCAGTTCTCTCCACGACCCCCCCCATTTACCCCTCTTTGCTGTGTCCCTCTACTTTTGGCCCTACATTGGTGTTATCAGGGAGCTCCACTGTCAGGTGCGAATACTGCTGCTGCTATCTGTTCACCCCCCTGTTCCATTGTAGTTCGTCCACTGGAAACATGGATTTGGAGGTAAAAGTTGATATCTAGTGGACATTGTTTACACTAAGTTTTTTGGGAATAAAACTGTGATAGCCAAGTATGTTTATTGTTAGGCTTCACGGTAGGGAGTTCTATTACTTGGGGTATTTCTTCCTCACTCAATTTTCTCGCAATTGAGTGGGCAGTTTCTTATTTTGGAGGGGTAAATCAGATTAAGGGGGTGGCAACCCCGTTTACAG